GGGTCTGCAAATGCAGAGCTCATTATAGATAGGAAATGCGCTCCGACACTGAGAGAAAGGATCACCACAACCTTTGCTGGGACTCTCTCTCCCACCCCCCCCCCCCCCAAATGTAATCCTGCATGTTAGTTTATTGTTGAGATTTTTATGTAAGCTCTGGTGTTGAAACTCCAGAGCTACCGGTAGTGGTACATGTATTTGTTTTAAAATTCATGTTCATGTATCATAATACATGTACAATGTATTTTCTTTTAAAATTCTACTCAGGTTACAATTTGTATTTAGATTTGTTCCCACTCAGTCAGATTAAATCTGAGGCAATTGAGACAAAAGATAAGACACCCCCCCCCCCAGAAAGTTCAGAGATTGGCAGGACATCTACATCTTCGTGTAGCAGCTTTTCAATCATGGCATCTCGGGTTCGAATCCTGTTAGAGGCTATAAATTACTTATTTTGGTGTGTTGTGAAAAACAGTCAAGTTTTACAAGAACTGTACATGTACCGTGATCTTTTCCATACCACGTCCCAGCCTTCAAATGTTTGTGTGACTGACACTAATAAAAGTGACAGCTGCCCCTGAACTTTGCTCTTAGATTATTAAATTATATAAATACATGTACATGTACACGTAGTTCCTTATTCTTGATCTGATTGGCCCATATGGAAACCCTTGCTCACGTGTGTCCTGTATCGGTTGGCTGTGCGGAGGGTATAACAAGAAATGAATAATGCGCATAGAAATTGGCAAGTCCTCAGCGACCTTTGCTGTTATTTCCGCCAATAAACCCCGCAGCCCTTGAGCAACTTGTGATTTCTGAAAGTGAAACGCGTTGCGAGTGTTTTCCATGCCCCTATGTTCCGTGCACTGTAGTTCCCCCACTCGTTGGCACGCAACCTGTCAATGCAGCATGGGCAGCCTCACAAATGTCAAATTATGAAAACACCTGTTTTTGTGCTGGCTAATCAACCGCCTTGGAACAATACAGTCACTGCCGGGCGACCTTGCACTCACGGACTTGAACTTTCAACTGCTGAGTTTCGAGAAAATGTATGACGTGGATTTTTTTATATATTTTGCAACTCAGCAAATAGTTGTGTGCAAGTTTGCATAAATGGTTGTGCACGAATGTATTCATTCTGTTTACCTGGGTGTTGCAAACCGTTTGGCCCTCAGACTTTCCTTTAGGCACATACATGTACATGTACATTTTTCGTTCATGTACCCTACAAAGTATCTTACAAAATCCAGCAATAGAAAACAGAAGAACTTACCTTCTCCTGTGATAAACAAAAATCCAACAGGTACAATGTATAAATAAAGGGTACATTGCACATGTAATTGCTATTACATGTAGGACTTTTTATTTTTTACTCTTTTTGCACATTGGTACATGTGATATTATTTTGGGTACAAATTTATGATTTTTATGAAACCATGTCAAAGAGAGAAGCCAGAATTCAGAGTGAAGTTTATTTTTAAACAAACAAACAAACAAACATTTTCCATGTTCTCAAATGTTGCATACATACAAATGTATATGTACATCATGTACAGTAACTGAAATTTGTATCCTTGAGACATTTCTTTGTACTGGTTTACTAAAGTTTTCGAGTTTGAAAGTACAGTTTCAAAATGCTCTTATTTTAACCAGAATTAATTTCCTTGGCTGAAATTCGGAGTTAATAGGCCTATCTCTTTTCTAAAACTATTTCATTTGCGACAGATCAACCCACCTTGGAAATTCAAAATTTTTGAGTAAAATCCATATATATTTCGCGAAAACCTTGTGGAAAAATTGCCATGTGGTGATGTTTACAATCTTTTGTCCCCTATTGTGTGCATGTCTCTAGAGGGCACGGTGTATCAGATCTTACTGATGTAAAATTTAATGTGTACTGGTTGATCAAAGCATGGAAGTAACCAGAAGGCAACCCACTGTATGTTAATGTATTCAGAACATGGCTGCCTTGAGAATTCCGAGATCCATGAAATCAATATGGGTCTCCAATTGACGACATACTCAGTTTCTCCGTATTGCTTACATATGACATAAAATTACGTTACATACTATACATATACACATGTGTGCACATGCCTATACCCACATGTACATTCGTACGTACATGTATACATAGCTCTAGGGTGTGTTTTTTCTGGAACCCAGGCAAATTGTCATAGAATCGAAAGGTGAAATTTTGACATTGTCAAGCATACATTGTAAGGGTCAGGGTTTTGTGAAAGGTTAATGTATGGAGTGCCTAATAACTCTTGTGTGTTTAATCAGGCAGTTGTAATTTGGATCCGATTGGCAGGTTTCTTGCACGTGAAGGAAACACTGTCATTCAAACTGTCAGTACACGAGTGGCTATTTTTTCCCACGGTGGTGTGAAACACGCCGTGGGTTTGAGCTGCTTATGTGGGTTGGTTGGAGGGTTGGTTGGTGGGTTGGTTGGTGGGTGGGTTGGTTGGTTGGTGGACACTTTACTCGGCCCATTATACTGTTTCCATGCCACGCGTGTATCACAGCTTTGCCAGTGAGTTTCTATGGAATACCTGCAGTTTTGTGACACTGATGCGCATGCGTCTAATTTGCATATTAAATCATCCCCCCCCCCCCCCCCCCAATTGCATTGCAGAATTCGTGGTTGTACACTTTGTGGAACCGCCGTGGGTGGTACCACTTGGTACTTGTTTATTTTTTGGCAGCTGCCATTTTGTTGAGAAATACAATCATGTACATATGTGCATGTAAACTTGTACAATGTAAGTAATCCTTTGTCCTTCTAATCCATTGCTGTATGAGTCAGTTGTGGTCGCAGGATGCTCAAAGGTGTATCCTGTTGAATTCAAAACCAATCCTTTTTTACTTCAGCCCGTCTCAACTCAAAAATTAGAGAAAAAGGTTAATATACATTGTACTGTAAACTCCCCCCTTAAATTTAATTGTTGGATTTCGTACCATTTTTTTTTCATATCCTGTGATGAAACCACAGGACATCTGTGGCTAGACACTGTAGACAGTCGTCAGGAACTGACACTGACTGGCTGAAAGTCAGGCAGAAAAAGCCTTGCACTGCCAGGTACAAATGGGCTGTGTATCCGCCCTGAATTGGTACCTCACTATTGATCTGTACATGTAATTCGTAGAACAAAAAAACAAAAAATACTGTAAGAAACGCTCACGAAGTAAGGCCGAGTACAAAAAAAAAATAGTTTCTCGTCCGGGGTTTTTGAAAAAAGGGAGGAAGCGGGGCTTTTTATTTTTTATTTTTTATTTTTTTCAAGATGACCGCCATTTCAAAATTCCCTGCAACCGTTGGTGTTCCACTGTTCAAAGACACTTTTAAAGATGAAAGACAAGTTGGACAAGAGAACTGAACATATTTACAGTGTCATTTAGAGTTGTATTGGTATTGGTATTTATTTTCTGATGAATTTGTAGACTTTCTCGGTGTGTTTCTACTACATTTTTCATAAATAAAAAATAATTAAAAAATCCAGGCGGCCTCCAAAAAGGAAGCGGGCGGGGACGAGAAACTTGTTTTGTTTTTTTACTTCGCCTAATTACAGTTATATTACATTCTCCATAAGTTCAGATTTCAACAGACCAATCTTCCAGGGGCTCAAAATGATTCCATCGTGAGCACTTTTTCTTTATTTAGTGAAAGTTCAGACTATTTAAAAAAAAAAAAAATGAGGAATTTGAGAAACTTTTAGAATATTTTAATTGTTTTGAATTCAACACTAAAAAAAGAAAGCTTTTCCCATGTATACATTTCATAAAGGACTCTTTAAGAAGTACCTGTAGACATTGTTTCACAAGTTGTTATTAGTTTGCAGGGGTAGGGGTGTATGCATATCCCCTTGTGGACCCATAACGAAGTACTCCTTCCTAAAGGCCCTATACACCCAAAAACATGTATATATGTCTCGCCTAAATGTCACCTAAATGTCACACAAGTCAGAGTTCATAATTCTTGTTATCTTGGATGTTCCATACACCTACGATCAATGAACACAAGAACAAGTCTAGACATAAATTCAGTTACTTGCAAATTATACATATTTTTTGTGACCAGCCCAATCGTTGGTCATTTTCCGCTTTTTTTTTTGAAGCGCTCCCCGGTCTGTGGTCGGACTCAGCAGGCCGTCAGCCATCAGTCATGTGCTCATGAATGACTTCCTGGCCTCTTGAATAGTCTGGCACTACGCCCCGTCATTTCCCCCTGCGGTGCTGACCGACCTACTAAATGTGGTTAAAAATAATCCATGATTGCAAGCTTTTGCGATGTCTCGGAAGACCTATCGCCTTTCTGCTGTCTAAGTTATGTTTGTCATGTTTTATCATGCATGTACATTGTGTCCTGCAATGTAGTTTGTAAATACATTAATGGGACTTGTTAGAAAAAGAAAGCTTTCTACTTTACAACTGATGTTGTAGTTAAGTGAGTAGGAGCAGGCACCGTTCTAGAGCCTATATTTTAGGGGGCTAGCAGGGGTGGATCCAGCAATTTTTGCAGGGACGCGTGCTGAAATGTAGACCGGTTTATTTTCTCCCCACACTTAGGCCTCCGAAAATCAATGGGGGAGGGCTCGTAGCACATTTTCAGTGGGGAGCGTTGTTAAAATCCTACAATCATGCACAGTGTACAAATGCCCCCTTCTCATGACTCCTTTTTTTAGGGTTGAGACAATTCGCATGGGACGTCACCTTCTAAAATTGGCTACTGCAATTTTTTTTTTTTTTGGTGAAATTTTTTTGGGGGGGCGGGAGGGGGGAGGAGGGGGCTAGACAAAAATGCCCCCCTTCTCACAACTACTTTTTTTGGGGGGTGAGACAATTTGCATGGGACGTCACCTGATGAAATTGAGCACATGACTGTCCAGTGGTATAAAATTGTTCAGTGGTTCGGAGGTTAACCTTTGACACATGGTGGTGACCGTTTGATCTCAACTTGTCCTCATCTTACTATGTCAATGTTTCCCCATCCATTGCAGAAGACACACCTAATACCAAGCCGTACTTCCCGGAGAAGATCTACCACGGCGAGGTCAACAAGACCACCGGGGTCGTCACCATCCACCCGCAGCTGGTAGCGCGCGACGATGACGCGGGACCCGACGGCGAGATCGCCGGCTACCGCCTCTACCCGGACGTCGACGTGCCGTTCGCCGTGACGTTAGGCGAGCACGGCGAGGCGGTGCTGAGGGCGACAGACACGCAGGAGCTGGGATGTGAGAAGAGCCAAGCTGGCTGGCAGTTCAGCATCCAGGCCCTGGATGGCGGCATGCCACAGAAAACATCACATAGGTCAGACATCAGTTCCAAAACTTCTCCCAGAATTTGTTTTCATCTTTCTTATCATATCAGAGTTGAGGGAAATTGTTTGTGCGTGCAACATATTCCTACATACTAGAGGACTTGGAATATAATTGAATTGTTGTGTGCGGGTGCGCAGTGCTATTGTGTTGACCATATCTCATAGACTTGCCTGTGGACAAACTGGCTTTTCACCATCTTCCTTTAAACCATGGCCATTTCTTAATTTAGGCTTTATTTTCAGATTTTTTTACCATATATACCATGGATGAAGATGCTGTAGTTTAGGGATATCTTGAAACACTTATATATCCCTAACGTTCCTGAATCCAACAAAATCCACACCCCCGTTTTGGAGGATTACGGCAGAATCAGGATACCTCCATATTGAAAAAGTTGGGGGATTTTGATGGATTCAGGACAGTAAGCCTAGTGGTGCTGCAGGATTTTGATCGATTCAGGCTACCTCCATATTGAGCAGTTGGGGACTTTGTTGGATTCAGGATCTCAACAGATTTACTCCTGACTAACTGTTGGATTCTGATGGACTCACTACCAACCAACATTTTATTGCATGGCAAAATTGATGGATTTTGGTGGATTCAGGCTTCTTTTTAGTAGAAATACCCAAGGGGTTAGGGTTAACAGGTCTCCCCAATTCCGAGAAATCTGTGTCTGAAAAAGTGTAAACTTTTTTTGGACCACCCTACAATGTTTTTTCTAGCTTTCAAGAACCACTGAGAAAGAAGCATTTACACAGGGCATAACCCATCATTAAAATTTCACGCAATCATAGTTTTGGCCCTTTTTTTTTCATCAGGACGGAAGTCCACATTGTCGTCAACGACAGCAACGACAGCCCACCGCGCTTTGTCCAGAGCAGCTACACGGCCACCGTGTCGGAGGGCGTGATAGAAGACAACGTCCTGACGGTAGAGGCCAAGGACAGCGACTGCTCCGCTGCGTTCTCTACAATATGCCAGTACGAGATCACTACGCGTGACGGGGCCACTGTTCCCTTTGCCATCGGCTTTGACGGTAAGTGGTTGCAGAGTGGTGGTCCAAAGTTGAAACATTTTGCGGTTGAGATATTAGACATTTTCTGATTAATTAAATAGCAGCACGCAAAAAGAGGAGTTCTATCAAATGTTCTGCTGTGACTGTTCTAAGTTAGTGAAGGAATTTGAAATTCTGCATAAGACAGCTAAAACTTGATTGTGCCAGTTTTTTTTGCCAAGCAGTTTAAGTGTCTGATGCATAGAGCTATATTAAATTACTAGAGCGCTAACTTCGTGTACAAAGTAATGCCTACTGGGCGCATCCATGTTTGTTCACAAACCTGTGGAGACCTAGAAATTTGTACGGCTTTTGTACAGCTATTTGCATATCTGTGTTTGTATTCCATTGTATTCCATACCGGTACGTTATCGAAGCCAATATGCCCAAAACCGAAACGCACGATCAGCAAATGAGCGTGTCATTTTGCTCTACGCAAACAGCGCAACGCGTGCACGTATTCGCTGCAGATGCTTGATGCCGTCACGTTTTTTTGAACCGTCAAGGACATGCTTAAGTTGTTTGCATATGTTCTACTTGCGCGTTGCATGTAGAGTACACTTTCAAAATTCAATCCATCTAATTTCATTATGTTCTTCAAACACGCACATGAATTCAAAATGTCTGCGCCCAGGACGGCTTCAAAGCATCTCCGCGCGCAGAATGGCGAGTTAGCGCTCTAGTAATTTAATATAGCTCTATGGTCTGATGTCACTCTTTAAAAAAAAAAACATAAAAAAGGAGAACTTCAAATACCTTTTTGCAAGTCGTTCACTGATGACAATCTTCACTTTAGAGGCCTGCATTCGATACATGCGCAAGTCTAGTGTTTTCAAGCTTTAGGCAGCACTAACCCCCCAACCATGCCAACCGCAATTTATCCAAAATCACTCTCCTAAAAAAAACAAAAGGGCTCATAGATTAAGGTTGAAGGAACCTTTTTCCCCCAAGTCAAGCAGCCCACTCTCCCTCTCAAACCCTCCAGCCAATTTCCTGTGAAAGTTGCTCGACAAACACGATTCGCAAACAGTAAAAAAAAGAAAATATATTTTTTTAAAGACCCTGGCAATCGTGGCAACAGTTTTAAAACGAGCCCCCACAAGTCAACGTGTGGAATCTTTGTTTATCCATGCCGGGCCCGGGTGGGCACCGGGTTTCACCTAGTGTGGAGTGCCGTGACAATGTCAACAACACATCCGAAAACAAACTCTACCTTCCCGGATCGTATGTGCACACACATTTAACAGCTATGTCCGCAGAATGCCCATAATGCACGGCAGCTCGAGGGAGGTAGGCACTTAAAGACCCCCTGTTCTTCCTTCTGTATGCGCCGCCAGAGCACAGCCAGATTAATTATCATATCTCTGCCAATCAGCGATGCCTTCCTTGTACCGGTAGTTCTTAGTTGTTTTCCTTTTTTTCGTCGTTCACTAGTTCCTGATCGGGCCGGCGCATCAAGCGCACAGACTCACGCCGCACTATTACATTAGTGCGCGGGAATCGTATTAGTTCATAGGGCTTAAGCTCCGTTGGAACCATCGTTGTGTAAAGGGGTATCAGGACACGAACAACGAAACAAAGAAAAAAGAGAGTACGCAGTCACGCGCAAAGAATTCGCCAGGGGTGTATGTTGCAATTGATCTCACTACTCTCTGGCCCCCCCCCCCCCACCTTCCCTCGGTAATCGGCTAGCAACGTGAGCAAAACAAAAAGGGGGTCTTCTGCGAATTTGCCAAGGATGCGAAGCTTAATTGCATAAATGTTGCCTCGTGGCAAACTTGGGGGGCATGGGACCCCTTCGCTGATCAATTATGCATTTTGTCCTGGAGTCCCGCAAGGTTTTTATTTGGTGGGAGAGGATTTTTGTGTGTGTGTGTGTGTGTGTGTGTGTGCATATTTGTGGGTGTACCACTTGAAATTTCGTAGGAAACGCCGCAGGCTTGAATAGACACAAGGGTTGAAATTGCAAAAATGTATAATGTGGAAAGGACGCCCTTATCATTTCCATCATGAATAATACGCATTACGTTGGTTTAACTATACATGGACATGTACTTGTTCATCTAAATATTCTAACCCTAACTCCCTAGGCCTTTTTGCTAGGATGTAGCCTCAATCCTGCAATATCCTCCAATTGGCCTCATGGAAAAATAGCATATACCGGTAGCCTCAATCCTGCAAATTCCTCCATTATTTTTTGAATATGGTCCGTGGAGGGGTGACCACTGCCTGAATCCTGCAAAATCCTCCGGCTATGACTGTCAGTAGCTGAGGCAGAGGCAGTGACATCCTGGAACAGTGCAGAGGATTTCAAGTATAATCAAGGACTAAATTTATGCTAGGCTGAGCATAAACAACACAACGTCCGGCCCAAGACCTTGACATAGTGCGTCCTCCGAAATCAACAACGCACTTTTGCCATGTAACCTCAATCCTGCAAATTCCTCCAATTTGCAAAAAGGATTTTGGAGGATTTGGGATGGTTAGGGCTAAAGAAGTGAATTTATGTTAATCGGATGCAGTCTGAAATGTACTGTCCTGTGTTATCGTAACACATTTGCATATTGCACTCTATACAGTGCCGTAAAATTTAATGAAATATGCACACGCACATTTACAAGTAGTCTCAAGCGGATGTACATGTATAGTGTACAGTACAGTAAAAATTTATAATTGCATCGCGTAATGCGCTGCATAAAGCCAGCTTAATAACACAATACAAGAACAGTTGAGATAATGACATGCATGACATGTATGTATGCTGATCAAATGTACATGTACATCACATTCTACAAAAAGTACAATATACACTTACTTAAAGTTCCTCATCAAAATCAGTATCACGCACATGTACTGTACATACCCACCACTACAATCTCAAAGTGGATTGTTCTTTGTACAGAAACTGCAGTATACATGTATATTGTACTGTATGTTCTCCCACAAAAAAAAAACGTCTGAAGTTGCAATGACTGAAGTTGCAACTGTCCAAAGCCTACTCAACCAATGTTGACACAGCCAACAGCATGTCAAAAATTTGTCACGGCCTACTCGGGCGAGCTCTCACTTCAAAATGTCATTCCCTCGCACGACAAACATGTTGCAGTCAATGTACGTGTTCATTGTATCAATCTGTCCATACATGAACATGTACATGTAGCCATTGTATTACCAATGGCGTAATCTGAACGATTACATACTCATACATGCGCGGACATGTACATGTGCATGTACATGTACGTTATGCGCCCGCACGTCTGCACTTTTTTGTTCTTTCCCGAAAAGACCGGCACTACAGAATGAGGAAAAACGGCTGGATAAATTCCAACCGGTAGCCCGCTGAAACAAGAGAGCCTGTAGGGTAAGTAAGCAATTGAGCGTTGACCGGCGGGCACCGGTCAGACACGACTGTTTTCTCTCGTAGAGGAGTTCGTTAAGGGTCTGCGGACGAGGAGAGAATCTCCAGACGAAGAGAAGAAACCTTAATAGCTGCATGCTGAGAGTTCAGAATGTTATTAAAAAAAATCATGTACACATTCATTATTATTGTGAAATGCACCTAAAAACTTTTACTCATAAGTTTCACTGTTTGTGTGAATTGGAAGCGTCTGTTTGATTGCAATCAGAAGCCATTCTGTTTGTAAAAGAATTTGCTCTTTTCGTTTATGTTGTTGTGGATGTTGTTGTTGTTTGTCCACAAACATGTTTGGCAAACTGTTTCACTGAGATATAAAGATAATGGCTACTATACAGGTGTATTATCGACTCCTTAAAAAAAGTGACGAAAGCAGCTGGAAGCAGCTGTAACTGAAACGCCCATTAATGTGTAAATTGACAGTTCAAGCTCATTTGCAGTGCAGCATTGTCAAACATCCTGGCAAGCGACGCTTAATTTCCCTGAAATCCGGAGAGACGGTGAAATCACAGAGTCACCCATGCCAAAGCACACTGTCGTACAAATGTACATGTACGTACCGGTAGGAGTGAGACAGGAATGCGGCATTTTCTCATCCAGCGGCGCCCGAAATGGCCTGAGAAATTCCCCCTACGTCTTAATGATGATGTGTAAACCGATACAAGACGGCAAGCCCTCGCGTCCTAGAAGGAGCAAAAAGCGGAGCATCAATAGCGTGGATATGAAAGTACACGCAGGATAGAGCTGGGGTACGCGGGCAGCTTTCCGTAGGCCCTGGCCATCCTGTTTCGCGGTGTCGCGTTACATAATACCAGATCAGCGCTTAATTTGCTACGGTTTTGGTTACTTTAAAGGGCAACAGCCGTTTTGGGTCAACCGGATGGGCTTTTTGGGAAGTGTTTATTTTTATAAGTCCGCTGTGCGTTATCGTACCAATGCAAGGCTAAAAGTACCAATGCAAGGCTGAAAGTGTTGAAAATGGATGTATTGCCAGCCAATGTTATTTCTGGCAAGAACGAGTATTTTTAGTCAATTTTACAAAGGGAAAAACAACTTACTTACCATTCAAGCCAGAATTGCTGACTTTTAAAAGACTGAATCTTGATAAAAAATTATAAATTTGGCCAAGTTTATAAAGACTGATTCTTAAGAGTAATAAATTTGCCAGTGAAATAGTTTTCAAAATTTTTTTTTTACAGAAATCTTTTAACAAGAATGAATAAAACATTTGTTGATATGTGCATATAAATATTCATGAGGTGAACAACCAGTGATGTCATCATGATGTCATGGCAACATGTATGCGCATCGCCGAATGACACCGGACAACATTTTCCATGTTGCCAGCGGCAATCAATCTCAGAGCAATCTGCTTTGGCCCGTAATTCTCCTCCCGCCGTCTTTCGTTTCGTGGAGGAAAGGGCACGATATTTATACACAGAATGAGAAACGCAGGATTCTTAAATGTACTTATCCCCAGGGCTAAGCACATAAAGTGCCATCTGGATGCCAGCACACAGGAAATGGGGATCTAACCTCTACTGGCAGATGTTCTTAAATAAATTGG